TGGGCGGGGCTACCCCTAGATGGTGACTATTCCACCTGTGGAGGGTTAACTTCTGTTAAATAATATCTGAGTTCACCATCCCCCACCTCCTTTTTATTTATTTATTTTGTTCGCCCCTCCCAACTTGTATTCCAAAGACATGAGCTAATAGGCGACTAGTGAGGCCCCTTCGTTCTGCCCCCATTCCAACACCCCCATCTAATACTCTCCGCTCACGTCTTCCTTCACTCACGTTCGTGGGCATACGGTCAACTTCCTTTGGCCTCATGGAAGCATGACCCTCCAACTCACCATAGCCCTGCACAACCTACCTATATACCTCACATAGGCACATTATGAGCAGTAACCATTAACAGACAGATTGGAGTCGGGAACTGCGTGGTAAGGATCCCAACAGGGGTTGGTACATCAATCCCGCCACTGTAGCGACATGGAATCCGGTGCATGATGGTATAGGGCTTGCAATTCCCCCCTGGATCCACCCGAAACCCCCTACCCAAGACAATGATTATTGGCCCCTGGTGCCCTAGCTGCCATGTGTCGGGTACCCATTACAATCGGGGAAAGCGACCCACATGTGGCCCAGCCTCAGTGCGTTTTTTTTTTTTTTAGTGAATCTCCCCCCCATAACCTGCCCTCCCAAATCCAAGGGGAACAAGAAATGAGGAGACTGGAAACCTGCCCCACTGCCTGTACCCTCCCAATACTGTCCTGGCAGAGACCAACCCATGGAGCTGGATTTTGAAGTGGGTGACCAATACGTGGAAGAGTCCATCTGTGGGGCCCAAAATCGGTGGGTCACTGGGTAGAGCCGGACAGTGCAGGGTATTTACTTACTCCTCCGGGTCCTCAGGATCCAGGCGCCATCAGGGCAGAGGGGGGCCCGCTGTGGCCGGGGCTTTTGCTCCAAGGACCCCAGCACCCAATTGGTGACCAAGATAGGTGGGAGACCCAGTTCCTCCTGGAACCATGGCATTTCTTCAGGCCAACGTGCCGATGCCCATCCATTCTGGTGACGGGCCAGTAATGCAAAAGGGAACCCCCATTTATATGTGATGTTGCGATCTCGTAGCGCTGATGTCACTGGCCTGAGCGCCCATCTAGCTTCCATCATGATGGGGGATAAGTCATTATATAGGGATACCTGGGCCCCGTGGTAGCTCCATGTTGGACATTCCCGGGCCTACTGCATTATGGCGTCTTTGACAGGAAAGTAATGCAGGCAGCATATTGGGCCCCTCCTCCAGTGAGCGTGGCCGTAAGGCTCTGTGGGCCCGTTCGAATTCAAAGTGCTGGGGAGCTTCATTCTGCAGCAGGAGCCGAAATAGGCCCGACAGTACCTCCTCCACATTCTCTCCTCCCTCAGCCTCCGTTATGCCTCGTATCCAGATGTTGCACTCGCGGCCCCTATTATCCAGTTCCTCCAGGTGTCTCTGCATAGCTAGGATCATTTCACCTTGTCGGGACACTGCCATGTCTGTTGCAGCAATCCTGGTAGACTGGGCCTCAGTCGAATGCTCCAGTGCCTGGATGTGGCCTGCTTGGGCGGCTACTTCAGTCTGGATGCCCACCATCTCCTCTTGTAGGGCGTCCTGAATGGTGGTGGATAGAGTTTGCAGGCCAGCCTTGGTAGCCACGGAAACTGCCATGTTCCGCAGTTACTCCCCAATCTGGTTTCGAATCCCGCCAGGTAGGCCGGGGGTATCAGTGCCATCCCTCAGCTCTTGGCCTCTCCCCCAACTCTGTGCTGGGACTGCAGAAAGCCGTCCATTGGACCCTGCTGTTGTCCCATTTGTGAGCCCCTCAGGGTCTGAGGGTGGAGGGAGGGTGCTGGGCATCGATTACGACCCATTTGCTGGTTGTAGCTAATTATCAAGCGCTTTGTTGGGGATTAGTGGAGCGAAGCACTCAGATTATGCGGCCATCTTGGTCAGAGCTGAAGTCACGCCCCCCAACTCTTGCGTTTAACCCTTGCAGATGTGGAAAGACTTAACTAAGGCAAAGGCATTTTAACCCTTTATTTACCTGTATCTATGACAAGTGCCCTTTGTCTGATACTGCAGGTGAGAGTTAGGCAAGGTATCTCCAGATGTACTAATTACACCTGTGGGACTTTTATTAATTCTTCACCTCGATTTCCCCGCCATTTCTCACCAAAAGCCGTCAAGGGAAGCTTGACCACATATGTGTTGCTACAGAATAATATATGTTATTAAATCCACATCTCACTTTGCAATACATATATTTTTAGAAAACAGGGATACCTTCAAAGGTGATGTGTTCAGGAGCAAATTCACTTAATATATGACTTCGTTGGTGTGATAGGATAAAATATTTAAAATGCTGGATGGTAACTATGCCAGAATGTATGGTGTGTATACCTTTAAATCTGCTATAGGCAGAATCTGTTTGGTACACACCGAATGATCTGCTTAATACAAAGTTATTGCTGAATACAAAATAACCATATAAAACCTGGTTACCTGTTATGTGTAAAATTCACACACTGTTTAAAATAGTGTGTATATTGCTTTAAGTAGTCCGTGCAAAGAACAGTATTATATTTTAATAAGGAGACATAAAAAACTCCATATTAACTGTATTAGTTATAATCACTTGAGAATTAGGCAAAAAACTACAAGTGAAAGTAAAAAACCACTATTAACAGAATGTATTTAAAAAATAATGTAGAAATTTATTCATCATATAAAAAACATAAAAGAATAGTCCAAATTTGGAATAAAAGTATAAATACGCGTTAGACCAGCAGTGCTAGTGAGCAGGATACGACGGAGCAGCCAGACGCCAGCAGCAGCATCTCTTTCCTTCCCCCCATACGGCATCTAAGACCTGGGGACAGACGGACTGCCGAGCATCCGAGAACCAGAGTGAGGTTTGGCACGCACGCCAACCTCCCCAGCAGCCGGCAAGTAATTTCTCTTCATTTTGATACAATAGTATCCACTGTAATCCTTAACAGTTACAGTGTGGATGAAGCTATTTGTGCGAGATCTGCAGTGGCTAAAGACTTGCTAATCGTTCCTGGCTCCCATTTTTTGTATTTATACTTTTATTCCAAATTTGGACTATTCTTTTATGTTTTTTATATGATGAATAAATTTCTACATTATTTTTTAAATACATTCTGTTAATAGTGGTTTTTTACTTTCACTTGTAGTTTTTTGCCTAATTCTCAAGTGATTATAACTAATACAGTTAATATGGAGTTTTTTATGTCTCCTTATTAAAATATAATACTGTTCTTTGCACGGACTACTTAAAGCAATATACACACTATTTTAAACAGTGTGTGAATTTTACACATAACAGGTAACCAGGTTTTATATGGTTATTTTGTATTCAGCAATAACTTTGTATTAAGCAGATCATTCGGTGTGTACCAAACAGATTCTGCCTATAGCAGATTTAAAGGTATACACACCATACATTCTGGCATAGTTACCATCCAGCATTTTAAATATTTTATCCTATCACACCAACGAAGTCATATACTAAGTGAATTTGCTCCTGAACACATCACCTTTGAAGGTATCCCTGTTTTCTATATTTCCAGACAGGTTTTGGGTGTATTCCTGTCTTTGTTCAGTTTTGAGCTATTTACTTTAAGTCAGACTCCCTCACCCCTCTGTGTTTGCATCAAGCAGACCAGTTTCTATTTTCTTGTACATATATTTTTAGCTTAGTATGTCTAGGTGAATATTTATTAAGCATTGCATTGGTAAAATGACAAATTCCCCATCAGAGACCAATTATTCTTGTTACCCTCCAAACCTTTCTGGTCAGAGTACTCTGAGCACTAAAACAATTGTAGCTTAATGAAGCAGTTTTGGTGTATATATCATGTCCCTGCAGTCTCACTGTTCAATTCTCAGCCATTTAGGGGGTAAATCACTTTGTTTATGCAGCACCTGGCTGTGCAATGGAGCTGTGCACGGCAGAGAGCCTCAGGAGGATGCATCAAGCATGAAAATGGTTTAAAGAGGCCACTACAGCCCAGTACAGTGGTTGTGGTGTAAAGATGCTGTGGTCAGCAAACCTAATTGTTTTTTATTAACCTTTTTTGTTAATCATTTTGGACCACTTTTATGAAAAACCTGGACAGCAGCATACCACTCAACATCGGGGGAGGGGGTGTTTGTAAGTGGGGGAAGACTATTGATGCAGATCATGTCACTGGCACCGCCCAAAGGACACGGTCCTATCAAGAATGGGGGCAGGTCCGACTGGAGTAAATTCACACCAGGCTGCCTGTCAATCATGTAGGCCAGTCCACTGAGAGAGGACAATGCAGAGAGCACTGTTTCAGTACACGCTGCAAGGTTCTAGTGCCCTTAGCGAAGTATGAGCGCGTCTTATGAAACGCTCAAGCTCCACTCAGTTCTGCCACCTTAGCAGCTGCCTCCACAGTTGTGGGTTGTCTATTTCTAATCCAGTCTCTAATATAAACACTGCACCAGGAGGATTATCTGTAGAGCATGCGATAAAGTGGCAGCCTGGCAACCCTGCATCCAGTTCTGGGCCACCCGCTACATGTAGAAAGCCCAATCAGCCTGAGAGTCCTTTAACCCTTGAAATTTTCTTATATATGCCTCAGGGGTTACAGCGTACCATGCCAGGAGTTTCTCTTTAACACATTCATAGTTATAAATGTCCATGTCTGGAACTACACTGTATACCGTGGCTGTCCATCTGGTCAGCTTGCTTCTCAAAACAGTCACCCCATTGGCCATATCCAGGGCCAGATTAAGAGCCCAGTGGGCCTGGTGCTGACAATTATGACGGGCCTAATTACAGAATCATATCAACCAAAAACAGTAAAACACTCCCAAGCGTCATGTATCTGATAGAGATGGTGCTGGAGAGAAAGAAAACAGCAGCTATAAGAAAACACATACCCTAGGCTAATCTCTCTCTAATTTATGTTTCCATCTTTCAAGTAAATCCATAACCCCTAACAGCAGTGTCCAGTCAGGCATGAAGTCAATGGGCATGGTAAAAGGGTGTGCCACTGACACAAATCACGTAACCTGCCAAAAGGGGCGAACATGCCCAAAAAGAGGACATGTCTGCCCAAAGAATTAGAAGGCCAGCCTGACATGAATGCATGCCAGGCTGCCTGCCAATCATGCAGCTCGCCAACTAAGGGCATACTATGCAGACAGCACCCTGAGCTTGGCATAAATGCATCTAATGATGCGCTCACTCAACGCTTTATAAGGACTGTTCCCTAGCACTCGCTGGTCCACTTGTCTCCTTACCTTCTTATTAGCAGGCAGAAGCTCCTGGTATATGGTCTGGGACAGAGAAAAGCTGTATGTAGTGAGTGTAGAAGAAAGGGAACATGCCACAGTGTTAGAGAGACCAAAGTCAGCATTACCTTAAAGGATCACAAGAGGGTCAGGATCACAAACATGAATTCATGACCCTATAGTATTAACACCACCATCTAGCCCCCCTGGGCCCCTCATGCCTCCATAAATATAGCAAAATCTTACTATATTCAAGCCTGAAGCTGTAACTCTGCATGCTGTTAGACTCATAAAACAAGCAGTCTGCTGACATCATTAGAAGTGGTGGCCTGATCCAATCACAGTGCTTCCCCATAGGATTGGCTGAGACTGACAAAGAGGCAGATCAGGGTCAGAGCCAGCATGATTTAAACACAGCTCTGGCCAATCAGCATCTCCTTATAGAGATGAATTGAATTAAAGAATCTCTATGAGGAAAGTTCAGTGTCTGCATGCAGAGGGTGGGGACACTGAATGTTTGGATGCATTTTAGGCAGCCATGACCCAGGAAGGATCTCTAACAGTCATCTAAGAAGTAGTCAGTGAAGTTATCACTAGGCTGTAATGTTAAGACTGCATTTTCTCTGAAAAGACAGTGTTTACAGCAAAAAGCCTGACGGTAATGATTCTACTCACAAGAACAAATTCAATAAGCTGTAGTTGTTCTGGTGACTATAGTGTCCCTTTAACTATATTCATTGTCAGCCAGTCCACACAAGTTTTGTTCCCATACATCCCTCTTAAGTTTCCATACTTAAGTAAGAGTATATAAAAAGTAGTTAGGGTTGCCACCTTTCTTGGAAAAACATACCTGCCTTACTAATTTGCATAATTAAATATGTATGGGTGACATCACATGATGTAAATCACAAAGAGTGACATAAGAGAAAATTCTGTAAAATCACCAAAAAATGACTTAGTTTGATTCTGCTGTATAGATGGATTCCTCCCAGTGCCCCCATGTCTCCCAGTGCCCCCATGTGTCGATTACTCCAAGTCTCAGTGTTCCTATGTATCAGTGTCTCAGTGCCCCATGTCTCCCAGTGTCCCCTAGCAGGGCCGGACTGGGAAAAAAATTCGGCCCGGGCATTTTTTTATCACAGCGGCCCACTAAGAAGGGGGCGGGGCAGAGAGGGTGTGTTTTGTCATCACTCATGACAAACACGCCCCCTCTCAAAGTGAGCATGTTGGTTCAATGCTCTTCCAGGGCAGACCATGCACAGAGTTCTGCTGAAGAGCTCTAGCATGAGAAAAAAGCCCTGTATTTGTTCTGCGCAGTGCAAGCAAATTTAATAACATGCTTGCACTGTGTTTCTTTGCAACTTGTCTCTGGTGTCTCT